CTGAGGTAGAGCCCAAGGAAATGGTAGCCGTGGGCACTGATGATGCTGGAGTAACAGTGGAGCTCCTGGTGGTGGCGCCAGAGGCACGTTCCAGGCCAGGGAGGGCGGCCGTGGTGGCTGGTGCTGACAGTGCTGACTGTCAGAGGGGCGAGCAAAGTTGGGGTTCTCAGGGGGATGCTGGAAGGGGTCATGCAGTGTTGTTCGGGGACAAACCCTACTCGGGGGTGAACTGGAAGTGGTTAATTGTCCTTGTCAGCAGCAGCGCCTACTACATCTTGCATGTCTAGATTAGCACATTTGTTCAGTAAAAGTTTATTATGCCCTACTGTGCGCCAGGCTCTGGCACCTCCTACGGGCAGATATCAGGCATATCAAAGTGAGCAAAACAGCCCTCGCTGGTTTGGCTCAGTGGATAGACTGTTGGCCTGCGGACTGAAGGGTCCCTGGTTCGATTCCTGTCAAGGGCACATGCCTGGATTGCGGTCTCGATCCTCAGTAGAAGGCAGCCAATCAATGATTCTCTCTCATCATTGATGTTTCTATCTCTGTCTCCCTCCTCCGTCCCCTCTGAAATCAATAAATAATAATAATTGTTTAAAAAAGTGAGCAAAACAGCCAGGTCCCTGCCCCGAAGGAGTTGCAGTCTATTTGGTGTCTTTCAAACTACCCATCTGGACCTATTAGTGACTCTTGAAATTAATTTAGTGAATCACCGTCATTTTTTTCCCAAGTATTATTTATTTTGGGACTTTTATTAAGTTGCATTTATACATGAACAGATTCATCTTTGATAACTTTGCTTTTACTTATTAAGTATATAAAGTATTATATATTATCTCATAAGACTTTCAGAATTGTATATACTGGGCTACAATATAAAATGTGTATCTTACAAAGGTTGCAGTAAAAAAAGTTTGAAAAACACCAGCCTTGTATATATATCTCATTAAGTCCCGAAAGAGGCCAGTGAAGCTGTTTGTGTTCGGTCTGGGACAGGCCTGGGCCCCCTTAACTCCATGCTCCCACAGCTACCTGGTGGCCCACACCCTGGGGCGCCGGATGCTGTACCCCGGCTCCGTGTACCTGCTCCAGAAGGCCCTCATGCCTGTGCTCCTGCAGGGCCAGGCCCGGCTGGTGGAAGAGGTGAGGCCCCTGCCCCTGCCCCTCCCCCCACAGCTCTCTCCCCTGAAGGAGGTGGCCTCCTGCCCTTAACTTGGCCTTGCATCTCCCCACTCAGTGTGATGGGCGCCGGGCAAAGCTGCTGGCCTGTGATGGCAACGAGATTGACACCATGTTTGTGGACCGGCGGGGGACAGCTGAGCCCCAGGGACAGAAGCTGGTGAGAGGGAGCAGGGGTAGGGGCCCGAGTTAGAGTGTGGGGAGGGCAGTGAGGTTCTGGGGGTCTCAGGAAGCGCACCTGTGGGTACCCCACCCCCAGCTCCACCTAAAGACCTGCTGGTGCAGGAAGCCCACCACAGGGAACTAGATGAAGTGCAGCTGACATTCAAAGACCAAAAGTCATCATTGTAATCGTCCCCGAGAAGAAAGCACTTACCACGTGCAACACCTGTACTCAGTCCCCACAACCCCGGGAAGAGGTCGTTTATATTGGGCCCTTACAGATGGCACAGGAGCTTCCCGGGTCACAGTTAGCTGGTGGGAGAGCCGGCATTTGCACCAGGCTCCAGAGCCCCTGCCTCCATGAAGCAGCCCTGGAAGCAGCACTAAGCCAGCAGGCGGGGGAGCAGGCTCCAGTCCCGGCTCTACCCACTGCAGGAGCCCACGGAAACCCCATCGTGGAGGCGTTGGCCTGGGGCACCTTGGAATTAGTGTGTGGGGGTGTAGACTTGAGCTCAGAGAGGGAGAGGAAAAGGGATTGCCATACATACCACACAAAAGGCAGTCAGAAAAAATAGACCCCAAACCTGGAAATGAAAAACCCCAACTCCCATCCCCGAGAGACCCCGCCAGTGTCTCCAAGGACAGCTGAGTGGGGCAACTAGAACGTTCTTCCTGGATGTTTGCTCCTTGCCTCTCAGCTCCGGGACCTTGTGAAACTGTTGTTTCTATTCCCCGTGGAGAGAACAGGAATGCGCCTCCCTCTTCCCTGCGAAGCTCCCACAGCTGCCCTCCCTGCCACATGGGTTCCTCAGCCCCTTTGGCCCTTTCCCAGCCTCCTTCCTGCCTCCTTCCGCAGGTGATCTGCTGCGAGGGGAATGCGGGCTTCTACGAGGTGGGCTGCGTCTCCACACCTCTGGAAGGTAGGCCCAGGGCTCAGCCCTCTTGTCTCTGCCCCTTGGAATGGAACATCCCCATCTTCCCACATGGACGTGATCTCCCCTGGCCTGACCACTTTCCGTGGGTAAAGTCTGAAACCTTCACTGTGGGGAAAGTCCTCCCCCCATTTGCTTTGTGCACCATACGTCCCTGCCCTGGGCTGTGTCCCTAACCTTTATCCCTCCTCACGATCACACATCTCCCTCTGCTGCCTCGGAACCTTTGGTGGGTGTTGTCTCCCCATCCTGGGAAGGCTCAGTGTTATTTACCCCTGGTGGGCGTGGTTAGCGCTCTGGTGCCCTGCTGCTGGG